TCATGATAACACTTTGCACCTTCGAATTGACCCTACTCGATTCACGATAATACCTTCAGATCGGCCCTGTCCGATTCATGAATTTGCACCTTCAAATCGACCCTGCTCGATCCACGATAACACCTTCGAATCATGACCACACCATCGGATCGGCTTTGCCCATTCCACGACTCACACTTTCGAATTGGCCCTATCCAATCCAAGAATCCACACCTTCGGATTGACTTCACTCAATCTAGGAGGCTACAAACTCAATCGGCCAGACCGAATGGTTCGTACATCTTCAATCAGCAAACCACCAACCTAGCCCAACATAAGGCCTACATGCCTCAGTCGCTGGGCCACACTGAAGCTGCAAACACAACATAATGCATCTACAAGTAAAGAAACAATGAACAACTCATTCATCCACGAAGAAAGCATCAAAAGTTAAAAAAGCCAAGTATAATACATAAAGCCCCAAACGGCTCAGTTCAGAGTATAGAAAGGCACACACGCTAGGAAAAAGGCATCGCAAGCCCAAAAATACACAAACAAAGAAAAGCTAAACTAAGGATCCTCGGTATGAGTCATCTCCTCCATCTCCGACCTAACCGCCCTGTCTGCACTGCCAGCATCCGTCCCAGTAGCCTGGTCGCTAATACCCCCAACACTCGACAGCCCCGACTGACAAGCAAGGTCAGGCATCTGCTCATTGTCTTGCCACCCCAGATGACTATTACTTTTTTCCAGCAATTCTCGCATGAGCTGGATGTCTTCGTCTAGATCCTAGTGAGAGGTCCTCCCTTCCTTGAACTCAAGCATGAGTTCACCCCGGGCCTTCATGATAGCGTCATCAGCAATGGAAATACATTGCTTCCTGAGAGACTCGATCTCTGCGGTCTTCTCGGCCAACTCACGTCTCAACCTCTCTAGCTCACGCTTGCTATCCCTCAGACGCTGCTGACTCTCTTGCTTGGCTTTCTGGGTGGCCGCCTCTCTTTGGTGCAAGCTGGTGTTCGCCTTGGACATATCTTGTATCTGCTTCTCCTGCGCCACCACAAACTTCCTTAGATGAAGACTGCTAGTGAACACTTGCACAACAAAATATTGCCATCAGAACGAAATTCAGAAACAAAACAAAATGAAAACTACCGCCATACTTGAAAGGCGTGGGCTACCCCCTAATCAGCTGCAGCAACTGCGCCCATCTGGTTCAAACGTGCCTCATCCGCTGGGAACAAAAATGAGTCTGCCAGCTTGCTCATAAAAGTGGAGTCAGAGTAGGTCAACGCAGTAGCCAGAATTCTGAATGTAATCATCCCGACCTCCTCATCCATGATCGCGGTCTGGGACAACCCAGCTTTGGCCGCAGGCTGTTGAATAAGAGGCATCGCTTACACGTCCTCCACCCTCATGTCCTCCCTAGTCAAGGATTCCCTCCTCCTCTTTTCTTGACGTCGAGCAATGGACTCACTCGCACTAGGGATGGTTAATTTCTTCATTAGTGTCTCTGCAAGCGCAAACTCTCCAACGGTTAGTGGGTTCAGCCCGGACTCACCAAAAATGATATGATTGCGACATCGACTCAAAAGCACATCCCAAGTCTGCTTCAACGAGAGGAATGGAATACCTAGTTGAATCGTCTCTACTTCGGCCCAAAGAACGCTAGTCCTCAGATTAGACTCTGCTAGTACTACTCGCCAATCCCTCTACACCGATGGAATGGCTAACACCTTATGGGTCGTAATGTCCAAGCCATCCCCGCTCTGCCAGCCTGATTGTAATCAAGTTCTGCAAGCAAAAAACACAATCAAGATTTAGTAAACAAAGTACGAAAAACAATAAAGGTTCTCACTAGTGACTCGCCAACTGCTTGGGATATCACCCTGGCCCCTCTCCCCGAAGACGGCCTGCCCCTTCAAGAAGAAGTACCGATCCTTCCAGTTCTTATTGCTGGACCGCAGGTCGGTCACTAGGTGAGACCAATCATGCCTCAAGTTTATCAAATATTGGTCTTTCTCTTTGCCATTCTCCTTCAAGAAGTACGAGTACAACAGCTCCTGTAGCCCGAACCTCACCTGGTTCCAAACATAGAGGTCCTCCAAAGCCATAAGCAATCTCCAACAGTTCGGCATGAGCTGAGACAGGGTAATCATGAAGTGGTTCAACACCTCCCAGATGAGGCGAGGAATAGGCAGCCTCAACCCATCGTGAAACCACTTCTCATAAACACTAACCTAGCCTTGTACCTCCTAGTTGACCCGCTCGTACGACTGCGGCACCTGGATTTCAACTGAGCTCAGAATGTGATACAAAGTTTGGACACGCCACACATCACTATCCTTAAGCACTGGCGGATAATCTTTGGTCAAGATCTCGCTGCCCTGTTGGCTTGGCTCTTCCTCAGAGCTGCTACTAGATGGGGACGAACTACTAGCCCCTTCAGAGTCTTCCCCACTTCGCCTATGCCTGCTAGAACCACTCAGGCTGGTAGCATTCGTCCCCGGGTAGCTACACTAACTCTAGTCGACACTCCCATCGAAATGCCCCCTTTGGGCATCATTAGTATGGTGGGGGCATGTTCGTACTTGTCACCGACATCTGCCATAACCCCACTCAAACTAGCCTACTCTGAGCCTAACATATTGACTCAATCGTCCAACCCAACTGACCAACTCAATCATAGTTCCCAGCCTACCGAAAATCGTAGTGTCAAGCGACTGCTTGCCCTGAGCAACCGACCGAACTAGACTACAATACAGCTATCGCTCGTCCTTTGGCACTGATTGACCTATCACTGTCAACAATCTGTCAACACTCACTAACTTAAGCTCTGATCAACCCCTGCTATTGACTGAACAAATCCAGGATCCTACAATCTTCGCTCGTTCACCCCAGTCGACTAACCTACTTTTAAACACCCTTGTGAATCAACTCGTCCTTGGTCACTGATCCACTAGTCCCAAGAACTAGCTGCCGTACAATCACCTATTCGGTCTGGACGACCAAACCTCTGTTCAAATCCTAAACGTGATCTCCTCGCCACTCGATGGGATAGATCAAGCGACCAACCTGTCACACGGGCCTCACTTTAACTATCACACTATTCGATCAGGCAAGCTGACCGAGCCGAACCAAGTATGTGCCTAACTCGCCTTTGTCTTCTTAGTACCATCCAAAATGCCCGAAAAATGCCTAAAACCCGGCTAAGATGCCGGAACAAGAATTCACGCCTATTCTAAAAGTCTGTATTCTAAACTCCTCAAAACCAGTCAAAACTACTCAAAAGTTCAAAAACTTCATCCTATCTTCCAAAACCTCAGCAAACAACCAAGACAAACGCAAAGAAACAAAGAGACGTCGTGAAAGAAGAATGTTTACCGTGAAAAAGCCAAAGTCTACCGAGAGAAACTACCGCCGCTAAAAAGAAACTGAAAATGCAGAAGAAAAGCTTTCGTTTTATAAAGAAGCAAACAAAAAAATGCGAATGGGAGATGAACAGTCTGCCCCTTCGCTTTAAAGAAGAACACCTGATAGACGAATACGCGTGGAAGCCCATGATTGGCCAACAGTCAAAGCGTTTCTTTGTTTTCCCGTCTAAAAAACAAGAAGTAGATCACCACCGTACACGTGGCGGGGATCCAAGCCACCTAGGGAACTGTAGTGTCGTACGTAAACCACGTTCCATTACCTTGCCTTCCCAACCGACCCAGCACCCGACTGCCAGAGGACCCAACATGCCCCCATGACTCACGAGCCTAGGAGATCCTCCCGACTAGTTGACCAGCTTGGAACGGCCCGGCCTGGCCCGAACTCTAGATAGAAAGGTAAAAGGCCTCGCTCGTTCATTCTTCCACAGCGGACGAATGGACAACCAATGGTTGAAGCTCGCGTATTCCTTCCACCCGATCGCCCAAGTACCCAGACCGAGCGAACGTTCAGTTTAATGTAGTCCTTAATTGATTCGACCTGGCGTATCAAGCAGATACCCAGGCCATAGATTTACACCTCACCTCCCCAGTCGATGGGACGTACCAAGTGAGCGCACTAGCCTTCGAAGCATCGGTGTCTCAATCCCTTCGGCCCTTCACACTGATCAGGTGCATACTTTATGGTGATGGCATACTCCAGACCAATAATGAATGCCGAATGACCCTTGACTATGAATCACCTACATCAAATTGTTCAGCTACACTAGCAACCGGTCGTCTAGGAAGGGAGACCAAGCGTGCCTCGATTGCTTCCTACTCTCTGACTTAAGAAATTCTTAACTCAGAGAGTGGGGGAAAAATTGTTAGGGCCAAAAATCGTCCTTGACCCAAATAAAAAAAGGGACCTGAGTGTATGGAAGAAACCAGGCCCAATCCTGGTACAGGCCAATTTGATTCGAGATACAGCTAGCCCAAACCATCTTGGCACAAGCCTCCTAATCCTAATTCACTTCTTGGACCTATGAGCAAGCTTAGAGCCTATGGCCCCCACAGATCACTTTCCCATTCCTGGTCAATCTCCTATTCAAGGTCACCTACCTGTTCAGATCACTTTCTTACTCGAAGTTACTTCCCTGTTCGGGAGTACCTTCCTATTCGAGCACTGGTAAGACAGCTCACCACCGCCCTAACTTCTCGAGGATTCGCATCAGAGTCACACTAGGACTCCTACTTTCACCAGGATTGGGAGACCAGACAACCACTATATAAGCAGAGGCCAGCCCTCTCATAGGGGGGACATTACATTACACCATCACACCCGAAGTTCCTTCTTGAGAGCTTCACATCATCGCCGTAGTCACAGTCCCCGACTAGACTTTCGATAACCTCTCTACTCCCTAGCCCTCACTATATTAGCATCTTTCAACCTTGTTAACTTGAGCGTTGGAGTGCCTACGGTAAATACCACCCCGATGTTTTCCGTCGCTTCACGTGTTTATTTCTCTACGTGTGCAGGTATAGCAGATCGCTAGTGGCCTAAACCTCACGGGATCAAACCCCATTTTCCGTACTGGTAGATTTTTACGTCTACATGTAACAATCTCCATTTTGATATAACACCTCCATCATTCGAGCTAGATTTAGAGATGGAAGAAGCAGCAGCAAAGGAGGATGGTTTGGTTCGTGAATTTCTTCATTAATATTTTTCCATGCAATATCCACCATTTCTTTTATTTTCTTGCATGCTTCTTCCTCGGACACATTGTGATCTTTCATGTAGCATTGCACTCCTGATGGCGCATCCCTTCTCTCTTCCTCAACCTAATTAACGTTATATATAGAAACAAATTTTAAATGTTAGACCAATTTTTGTTTTTATTTTTAGTTCTATTTGATGATGAGTATCTCCTACCTTGTAAGTATGGATGTCATCAACGAGATGAGCAATTAAGGCAGAAGACCTGAGGATTCTGGGAACACTAATAGCCCAATCGAAGGCTTCCTTAGTTGCTACTTCTTCTAAACCTACAAGAGCTTGAACAGAAAGCATAGGGTATCCACTGCTCATCACAGAAATCTCCAAGTATTCTTCAAATGTTGGCACATACTTTGTGTTGAACCATATTGCTTCCACAAAGTAAGCTCTGACCAGGGCTTTCATCTAAGAAAAGTAATCAAATTTAATCAATCTTCTACCAATTGGAATGATAATATATATTGATCTCATTGATTATATTAGAGATCTTACTGCCTCTTTTGCATAATGTACATGATAAGATAGTCCTTCATTCACCAGGTTGCCTCCATTTCCTTCACAACGTCTAAGAGAGCAAAGTAACATACTTGCATATATTCGGGTAAATCATTTGCAGCCAAAACTTCCCACCTGAACGCCATATATATATGGCACACGATCAAACTATAAGCATAATGATTTGAAATTTTATTTATAATAATTATTCTGATGCCAATTAATACCTCTCAATTGCATTAGTGAATAGCTTGAGTTTATCCAGGGTGCCATATACATCGTAGATATCATCTATGACAGAGGCTATTGCAATGATTTTGGTCATGTATTTTCCCTAGTTAGTAAATTCGCGTTTTATACGCGAATTATACGGCTAGCCGTATAATTCCTGTATAAAACGCGAATTTACGTATTTTATTAGGGCTGCTGTATAATTCGCGAATTATATATCCTATTCGTATAATTCGCGAATTATACCCGAATTATTACCGAATTTTTGCCGAATTTTTGCAGACAAAAAAATAATTACATGATAAGGCAAAACGACATCGTTTTGGTGGGGTTTGACTAAAATTAAAAAAAATCTCCTTCTCCTCTTTCTCGGTTCTCTCTTCCACAGTCTTCATCTCTTCTTCAAATCTTCAACAATTCAACTCTTTTTTCTTCATCTATTGACTCTGAGTCTTGATCTCTTCTTCTCTTCTCTTTTTAAATTTTAACTCTCTTCTCCAAGCTTTAAGTCCAAGACTTCAACTCTTCAAGCCTCAAGCTACACACTTCTTTCCTTCTCTTTTTAACTCTCTTTGAATCTTGTATGTTGGTGATTTGTTTGTGTTTGTGTTGGTGTGTGAGTAGTAGTAATAGGGGCTGGTGGATTGTGGATTTGTTATGTTGGTGGATTGATAGATTTGTTTGAAACATGTTTGATGAAATCTGTGAGAGTTATATTTGGTATCTGTTTTAACATAATATTTCATTAGTTCTGTTGTTTTGTGTTGTATGGGTCAAAATGAAAAGACTAAAGATCATCTATGAAAGCAAAAGATAAAGCAAAACTGCAAAAGAAAAGCATGAATTCATAAAAATAATATTGTCGGGCTTGGATTTGGAATTGGCAGATACTTAAAGAAAAGAAAAAAGCAACAAACCATCAGTTTACAACCAACGCCAACTGCAAATTGTAAACCCTGTGCACTTTGTCATGTTTTTAGATTTCATAACACTATTATTATTTGACCTTTAAATGTACTGTCCAATTAAATTCAGAAAATAAACAACTATACTAATTAGAATCCAAACTTTGTATGCGTAGCTATAAAATTAAGGATAAAAATACTAGTCTTAGTTATTGTTCAAATATACTTTAAATTAAAAGGAAAATAATTGTAGGGTCGACCACAATGGATTATTTAAATGGGATTTTTGAAAAGTGCTAAAACCAATATTGCTATTGCCGTATTTTCAAACGTATTATTGATAATGTGTCGTATTAACCTGTATATATCCGAATCGTATTTTTTCCGTATCCGATTTTATGACCGAATTTTTACAAACGTATTTTTCACCATTTGCCGTATCATACCCGTAAAATTCCCGTACCGTTTTTTTGCCGTACCCGTATTACTAACTAGGGTATTTTCTACTGATGGAATATTTGCTCAAAATGAACTCCAAAATCTAGAAGTAGCACTCCACCAACCTATCCCTTGCAAAAGATAGCTTTGTCACAAATCGATGGCTTTCCACCACCTGAAAATCACATTAAAAAAAAAAAAAAAACCAATTTCCTACAGAAATTTAATGACTCCATATATATATAAGCACGCGCAAGCAGAGAAAATTAAGATTGAGAACATGGAGTCATTTTAGTGTAATTAAGATCCAACCTTTATTTCTAAGTGAAGGATATAGAAAATTAAAAAAAAAAAAAATTGTTGAAATATTTTTTAGAGCAGTTTTCAAATAATTTATATACTAACAATATTTCAAAGATAGGTAAAATTGTTGAATATTTTATTAAACATGTATTTTAACATATGAAATAATAAACATACAATTCAAAATTTAAGAAATTATAACCTTGAGAGGTCACAGAGCTCTGTCCGATGCAATTTCTGTAAGGAATTGAAATCTAACTTCGCTATCTCCAATAATAGGTCGTTTCGAGCTGCATTTGCTTCATAGATAGAGATATATTGCCTTGCTTCTAATCTCGGCATCCTTTTGTGCAAGGGTAGCTCTAGGGTGCAATTCACTTTCTCAATGAAAGAAGAGTTTAAGTGAGGCAACATTGATTTCAATTGCCTAGTAGAAAATCGTTGGAATTGTTCCAATATGTCTTCTCCTTCCTTTCTCAAATTCGATGATTCAAACAAACACAACAAAGCTCTTGCATCATTTGCCAATGTGGCCTTAAATTCACCGTTATCATCAACGTACTTTTTGAATACATCTATTTAAACCAAATGTTAGAATATTGAAGTGAATAACAAATTAATTATAGAGATGATAATATTTACCTGATGACACAGAATAACCTTGTTGCCTTAGAAGCCGGAAGCGAAGAGCATTTGTATACAGATCATCGTCATCACTACCATTAATATTGTTGTTATCAGCATAGTTGTTGTAAATTGACTGTAAGGCCTGGCTGATCTGATATTCAAAGTGATATGCCACGCCAAGGCGTTGAAGAGTTCTTCCAATGTTGCTTTTCCTACTGCATTGCTTAGCATCTTTCTTACATCTTCTTTCAGCATTTCAATTCGCTTCTCAACTTCAGGATCGGGCTTCTGCATTAAAGATTATAAGAAAATAAAAAATTTATTAGTTAGTTTCATGCTATTAATAAATAAGAAGGTGTTTATATAGGAAGTAATCTTATTTCATGAATGATTTGTTTCATTTAATTGCAACAATACTTATAGATCTCGCTATTGTTTTTCTTCAGAAACATTGATTGAGCGAGCTTCAATATATGGATGGTGATGGGAACGGGAAGTCACCGGAATGAAAGAAACAAAGGGAGAGAAAATATGCACGGAAGAGACATAAAATGGATTCAGTATCTCATTTCCTGTTGGTTTTGCCTCCCAAGATCTTTGAGTTCGAAAAATGAAAACTTCCCAATTGCTCCACGTTCTTCAATTATAGCCAGTCAATAAGGATATGATATTTCATGCTAAAATAATATTCCAAAAACAATCTATACAACTTAAGCAATATTCAATCTTATTATGTATTGATATTCTTACAAAAAAACAAAAAAAACTACCGGTGCCTCTCACATCCCCTCCAACGTAACAAAACCTTAGAAATTTATATTCGCCATATTGTATTTAGCACAAATGAAACTAAACCAGAGCTACTGGATCGAAGAACATCTGCAGTAGGGCGTATTCACAAACATGGACGTAACAATTTACCTTAATTTCTTGTTATGTGGGAAAAATGAAACCCATGCATGATGTTTTAGTGCAGAAATGAAAAGACACAGAATTTCAATAAGAAACAAGCTCCAGAAAACAATAATTAACTGCAGTATGAAGATGATGATGTAAATGTTTGATAAATACATACCATATCAGTAGTCGAAACAATGAAATAATCACCCCAGACACTGGGGTGATAATTAGATGATCGACGGATCACCTTAGCATTTCTAGTTTCTTCTGTTGATGCAAGTGCCAAGGACTTCGAATAAAGAGAACCCCGACCATCCATCATATTAAGTTAGAAAGAAAACTTCACAATGAAAATAAGTTGAGTTTGTGTTTAAAAATCTGGGAGTGCATAGCTCTTTATATAGCAATTAATCAATCCGCTATTAATTAGTGGATTGACTTGAAACACATGCATTGGCATAGCTAATATATATTAATAAATAACTTCTTAGTAAATTTTCTAAACCACTACTGGATAGTCTGATAGTAAAAGAGTAAAAAGAGATTTCATGAATTTCTGAGTTTGAGTCTTTCCAATCACTAATAGGGGTGGTCAAATGTTCAAGACAATAGTAACTTTAATTTTCATACCAAATTATATGCATCAATTTATTAAAATCTAAGGATTTAGAAATTACTAGATGTCTCAATTTACGTACGGGTTAGCATCACATAAACTCTTAATTAAATATCTTGCTTCAACATTGGGATCAGGTTATTAAAACTGTTTTTAAGAGATCTAATAAAAAGGAATATTCCCTTGTTAATATATCCCAAGAACCTTATATCACTACAAGAATTTAGGCTTTTCACAACAAAATAATTTGTCACTATAAATATCGAAATTTTGACCATTTTTTTTAATATGATGAATTATATTAGTCACCAGGTTAGTCATATTAAGTTCGTACTTTTATGTGTATAGTGACGAAAGAACGTTTAGTCACCATAGCCTAATTATTTATTGTGACAATAATAATTTGTCACTTTAAACTAGTTTATTGTGATAAATTATTTGTAACAATAGAAGACAATTTTTATCACTATAAATAATATTTTGTCATAATTGATTTACATTTAAATACCAAATGATAAACTTTATAGTGAGAAAATAATATATGATGATGAAATTGATTTTATCAAAAATTGTGAATAATGACTAATTTAGCTTCTCATAATTTTACTAGTGACCAAAATTCATTTGTCATTGACTTTATTGTGACAAAATTTATTTTGTCACATATTTGTTTATATGATAATATTATTTATTGAAAATTATATAGTAAGAAAAATAATTTTGTAAAAAATTTAATAACATGACAAATAATTTTTAATACAAATATTTTTACATGACAAATTTTTTATTGTCAAAATAATATAGGAGTTACAAATATTTTTTGTCATCTCAATATACTTTGTTTCTCCATTTCCATAACCTTTCTTGTATATTTTTGGGTAAAAGGTAATTGTATAAAGAATAAAAAAATAAGTCCCAACCCCTACAAAGTCAAGTCCCTTGGACAAGCCCAAGCAACCAAGCCAAAGAAAACAAAAAAAGTGGCATGGATTTACATTCCAAAAAGCCAACAAGCAAGCCTCAAAGAGGACCATACAAAATGACCAGCAACAAAAAAACAATGCCAGACTTTTGGTTTACAAAAGCCAACTGCATATACACGCAACCAAAACAAGAAGAAAAGGAGGAAGCAGTAGCCTGCAATCTGTAAATAATTCCCCGGTGAAAACAGCTCTGGAAAAGCTTCTGGTCAGCGACGAGAAAAGTCTTCTTCCAAGCCTCCAAGGTTTTGACATAGAAATATCTACAAACCAAACAGTAATACTCACCACTTTGTAGGAGCAAGCACTACTAGAAAATCACAAGTGTAAGCAACTGCGGACCTGGCACAAGAAATATGATGGCAGGATTAATCTAGAACGTCAATATAAATATATATACACTTCTTAGTCAACATAATTAGAACAAAAGAATGACCTGAAAACATGCCCAACGACCAATGTGACTTTATAATGCGCTTGAGATCCAAGAAATACAGCATTAGCAAAGAATTCAAACCTAACGAGTAGATTAAGACTACATTATGGCTAATAATTTTACAGTACAAAATGCAAAGTCTTTCACCTCCTCCACAAAAGCAACAAATATTTCATAGAAGTTCGTGGAGGTGAAATTATTTATCTCAAAGAAGAAAAGATACATGAGGTATATTCATAGTTAATTCACACATCATATGAGCTGACCTCCCATTTTTCAAGCTAACATCCAAGCCGAGCAAATTGGAATATTTGAGCTTTTTAACCAGATGAAGAGTAGAAGGTTTCCGGCAAGTTTGTAGCCTCTACAATAACAGACAAAAAGAAACATAAGCCCATGTTTGGTTTAATTCTTATAGAATTTAACAGAATCATAAATGTAAGGAAGAAGTCAATGACTGCAATGAAGGATACTGAAATTTGATTTCATTCACTGTTTGATTAAGGAAACGAAATGGTAGTGTAATGGAAATACCATATTAATGTGTATGCAATAATTGCCGTTACATCACATAAAGGTCATCAGCTGAAACAAAACAAAGAAATAAGCAATATTAATCACATTTTCACTACACTCAAGAGTAAAAACAACATCCTATGAAATATACCAATAAGATATTACTGAAGCAACTACATTTCAAAATCAAATTCTTTAACAAAAGAAGCAGAACCAATTTGGCAAGATACAATAATTAGAATTTTACCTCTTGCCACCACATTAAGTGGGAAAGATCCTTATCATTTAGAACATTATCATTTGGATCCCTTTTAACTTTCTTTAAGCTTTTGTAATCCCTCTCGAAGTCTTTGAAAAAATAAATCTGACCAAACTGTTACTGCTGCTGTTACAAAAACACAGTTCAATTGTTCATTCTCAAATACTCAGATATCGATACCAAACATCAATTTTTGCAATATCTTACAAGTCATAAGTTCCCACAATAACAAAACTCATACATGTCTTGCATCTTTTCTCTCTTGAGATGCAGAGATTATACAGAGCTAAAAAAAAATCCATAAGAAGTGAAGTAACATGAAACTAGCATTAGATAGGAACAAGAGCTTATTTCATAGAAATTAAATAAGTTGCAGACAATTGGATTAAAGTAATAGAAGCTAACCAATTGGTCTAAAATATGGCATATGAAAAATAATCAATCTGTCAATCCAAAATTGCTTACTCTAAGTTTTGCACAAAACTGATTATAAAAGACTTATCATCAAAGATATGGTTTATCAATACTCTCATTCAACTGAAACGTAATAAGCTTGATACACCAAATCCACTTGTTTTCTTGAGCTATAAACATTGTAGTATTAAAAGAAGTGAATTAATTATCTAGAAGCAACGAAAGAGAGCAAAGGGCAAGTACTTTGACTGAGAGAGTACGGTAGCAATTGAGAGAGCAATGCTAGGCTTTTTTGCAACCGAGACATGTATATTACAAATAGTGAGAAAGAAACAACAGAGCAATAGAAATCTATTCAAACATAATGCAAAGAACTCAACAAGGCACAAGAAGCAGAGAAAAGATAAATCAATACGTAGTTATTTAGGATAACCCAAGAACTTAAAGCAAAGACATAATGCTGAACTCAACAAGAAATCAATAAGGCAACCCAAAGTTTGAATGTCAAGACAAAAAGTGCCATCAAACACAAATCAATGTAACAACAAAATAGACATCTCTTCTTCTAGGGCTCTAGACACAAATAAATTTATTTAACGTGAAAACATACCTCATGGGAACTCCTTGTTGCAAATGTGCAAATATGGGTAAGGCTGCATACAAGTAGACGGCATTCAGATGTTTGTTAATGCATATAGTAGAAACCTCTACAAAAACCAAAAAAAACCGCTGTAAATTCAAGAACAAATCTTAAGGAAAAGAGAAAAATAAAAATACAGCTCACTGGAGGCTCTTCATAGTGGGGATGATCCTCTGAGAGGTTGTAAATGGCAAGCACAGTGCATGTAGCAATGCCTAAATGTGTTATTTCTCCCACTTTGCCGTCTATCTAATCAAAATTTTTCAAGTAAATCAATCACACCAATTGAAATTTTCAAAAAGATGTTTCTAAATACACAAACTATATAGACAGAAATATTTAGATTCTCATTTCGATAAACCCAAAAACACAACAAAACATGCCACAAAGATTGTTTCCTTGTTACTCTCATCTTCAAAGAGATTCCATATTTTATAGGCATTTCATACAAATCTAGGAACTCCCACACCCCATTCACGTGTCATGACATAATCTAATCCTCAAAATTACAAAACAAAAAACAAAATTGAAACACAGAATCCTTCAAAATACAGACCAAAATCGCAAAATACCAAAGCATGTGATATGATGACTAAATAAAATATGAATCAAATAAGAATCAAAACCTAGATTAACGAAAGATTTTAGGGATGCTTACAGGCATCGTCGTGATGACCTAAAGAAGTGAATCCTCGCGTCGAGGAGCAAATGGGGTGGGAGTGTGGAGGTGGGGGGAAAAGATAAAAGGGGATGGGCCATTTTTTTCTATTTATTGGAAATTTGATTTTTTCCTTAATTATTAAAAATTGGTTTTTTTCTTTTGTTTAAAAAACTTAATTTTTTCTTTTATTTAATAGACTAATTTTTAATAAAAATAAAAATGTTTATCTTTAATACATAAAATATATATTATTATTCATCATATCCAACATAAATTATATTATTCAACCTTTCATAATTTTTATAAATTTTTCGACCCAAACTTTTCAATTAAGCTTTTTTTAAGTTTTGATATTTCTTTAATTAATCAATTACTTATATTTATAAAAAAAAATGTATATCTTTAATATATAAAATATATATTATTATTTGTCATAACTATAAATATTGTAATTGATTTTTTGTGATAATTTCAAGCTAATACATATTCATCATTTACATGTATATATATTTTCATTCGCCTTATAAAATTAGAAGTTTAAATCAATCACTCAATTGAGTTCTTGCTGCAATAAATTAGAAATGGCATTAAATTAAATAGGATATTAGCTAAACCATATACCAAACACCTATCTTAAGGATAGCTTGAATTGCATAATTTACCTCAATTTTTTAATTTCATATGATCATATATTGCATATACTTTAGTACGTAACAACCCAAAAGAATGAAAGTGTTCCAAAATGGATGAGACAACCGCCTGTATGGTGTAAAAATTATGTTATTCATCAATCAAAT